ACTTAATTGCCTTAGCCCCAAAAGTCAGCATCCCTTTTGAGCCGCATCATACAAACTACTTACTAAGGTCTAAGCTAACCAAAGTCAACTCTAACCCCTTCACTAGTTTATATTGGCTTACAAAAACGGAATGTTTTTTGAGCAAAGTGATCAACAGATCAACCATTGGAAAAGCCTAAGAAAATTTGTGGAAAAATTTCCATCCTAGAGAAAGAATAACTCTCAGTTTAAGAATGCAAACTTTCAAGACTCAACCAACTTCCTTCTACTAACAACTTCATATAAGTTCACCTCAACACAAATTCTCATGACCCATAGAATGCTTAAGCATCGAACATCTTACCCATACTTTTGACATCCAACATTGATATCTACAAAATGCAAAATGAACATCCAAGGCTTGATCACAAAGACCATATCTTCAGACATCCACATTGCATTAACACCCTTCTTCAATCACCTTCAAGATCCAATGTGAAGCCAAAACACTAACAAAAAAAATGACATGAAAAATCAAGGGCTAAGGAGAACTCCTCATCACTCGAAATAACAATGCCACTTCTACTAACACAAGTGCTAACGATGTCAATGCCTCAACTACACACTTTCTCCATCCAAAAATCTACTTGAAGTGCTAATGGATCAACCAACAAGCCATAGCAAGTGAATATTACAACTTTTTTCCAACACCTCAATGGGTAAACCCTTAAGGAAACAACGTACCAACTTAAGTTTAGCATAATGGACCATCATCTAGAATCCAGTCAAAGCTACTACAATGTTACTATGTGCAAGTAGACTAGCTTTACCATCAACCACTTTGGGGTTGATTATTATTTACCCAAGCAACTTCGTAAACATATTGCTCATTATCACATAGATATGATATAAGTATCACAATAACTTGATCATCAATTGAGTAACACCACGAGCAATGCTCATGTCACTACAAAGGTTTATGTGAGTATCAAGTGTCAAATCGACTCAACCAAATGCAACATAAATGCCACACTCCACCGATAGAGATTTACAACACCCAACACCACTAACTTTTATTCTTATGCCACGTGATAGATGCCATGTGTCCATAGGACAATGGTGTGGAACCTGAGGTTCAAGGCCTTGGGCCACTGAACGAAAGAATGGTGCCAAACTCCCAAGCATGGAGCTGAGTGATGGAACCGGACCATGGAGATACTCCCGAGTGTACAGCCCAAGGAGCGAAGGGACAGGAGCTCAGAGCGACTTGGAATAGTCTTAGAGTAACCAGCATCCTAATGCTAAGACTAATACGCAAAACAGAACCAAACAGAACCAAATGGAGTTTAACACTATTTTGGCATACTGGTGGCCTAACGTAAGGATATGGGTACTCCACCAGCTAACATGGAATGGAACTTGGGCTTAGACCCAAGTTGGACACAGAACAAGGACAAGCACGCAAGCGGGAGCTAGACTATACCTCAGGTTAGTCGGCCATGCCCAACCTACCCACTATCCCTACTATACATTTGGATATGATATAAGTATCACAATACCTTGATCATCAATTGAGTAACACCACGAGCAATGCTCATATCACTACTTCAAAAGTTTATGTGAGTATCAAGTGTCAACTTGACTCGACAAAATAAAACATAAATGCCACATTCCACCGATAGAGATTTATAACACCCAACACCACTAACTTTTATTCACAACACAGACAAACTCATGCCACTCTCTTTCTGACCAAACTCAAAACCAATCCAACACTAAGTTACTCAAGGAGCAATAGTGAGGTTCCCCAAAAAAGAGTTGAGCATTGTAACCTAAGTTTTCCTGATCACCCTCTATCGGCCGATCACCAATTCCAGTGCCCCCAAACACTTGGATTGGGAGCATTAACCATTCGATCTCCTGAGGGAGCTAGAGCTGGCTCTTGAACACTTCACTAAGCTACCCTGTTTGTTTGTTCATGTTCACTCTAGCCTTGGACTCCTCAATAATTATATCATCATCCAACACATGGGTATAGCCTTCCTTGGTCACATTGGCCTTTCCTAGCCAAATTGGCTCCACTAGAGTCCTCCCCTATTATACTTTTGGAGCTCACCAAACCCCTAAGGGTTTGGGAGACAATCGCTTTATGCTTTCATCCTCGAACTCGGACTCGGACTCGGACTTAGACTCAAACTCGGACTTACACTTAGACTCAGACTCGGACTTAGCCTCAGTCTTGGTCTTAGACTTAGAGTCAACTTTAGTCTCAATCTTGGTCTTGGTCTCAATCCATCTCAAATTCATCTTAAATTCCATCTTTGGTCCATCTCGAACTCTATCTTGGGTCCATGTTAGAGTCCTTATTGGACTCTATTTTGGACTCCATCTTGAACTCCATTTTGAGTTCATCATGGACTCCATCTTGGACTCTATATCCGACTCTATCTCAGACTCCATTTTGACACTTCCATATGTCATGACATTTGCCATGTGTTAGTCCTTTTTATGTATTTTTCTAGACGCTCATTCATCAATCGCTTCATGCTCATTCCTTGAACACTTTGTTTGGAGTTCCACTCCTGCTCTTGACTTTCTAAATTGAAACTTTTGGTCCAAACGTGTTATGCTAGTTGGACTTCCATTTTGATTACTACCATATGGCACATTTTCGGCCCACTTTAGGCCTTAGGGATTTGTGTTTCACATTAGTGTTTGAAGTAATTTATAATATTTATTCTTAGATGTTTCTTTGTCATTAGATTCATACTTGTACACATGAGGTGTTTCAGTGCACATGCTTGATCTTGATGATATGGATGATCATATGAACCAAAGTCAATTCTATTTACTTGTACAAATAGCATAACATTACATGCAACACAAGCCTATGGTGAAGGAGCATTCTATTATATCCATTCCTGCTTGTTTGGATATGGAAACAAAAGAAGACTAAATATATTTTTGATTTTATGTTGTTTAATAGATTATTTTCTTTCTTCCCTCACTATGGGCAGATATGGTGAGATTACTAGCCAATCTATTGGAAAATGAATAAGATGACAAACTTTTTATTCCTACATAACTCTTTAGTAGTTGCTTTGGTGTGTGTGCTTGGGTATTGGCATCTAACCACAAGGCATAGCAAGACTTGGCAAATCATTTATACGCAATAGCAACTTTGTGTTATAACTGGTTTATAGGGTATACTTTTGCTATACATTTTTGTGTTGTTTTTATCTTTATACTAGCTATTTCATCCCTACCAATCCATGAGAGGTGTCAATGAACTATTCTTGCTGCATTTGCAAGAGGTTGAACAAGAAACTTTGAGGACTTTGGCTTCTGCAAGGATTGTAACAATAATATGAATTATTTCAGATTACTCTATGTATATAGCATTTTTCATGTTGTTGATGGTTCTAAACACAAGGCACTATAAAATATTGCCATATTAACCAGGCTTATAGCCTCCCTCCAAGTCCAAAGAAATGTTTAAATCATGTTAGTTGCCTCTTACTATTAGGATATTTGAGGAACTTGCTCCACTTCAGGGATGCTCCCGTCTTTCAAGCCAAGCACTCAATAGAATGTTTGTGATTATTCCTTGGGAACTCACTCAGGTATTCATTGTTATATTTTTTTCTTGCCTTTAGAATAACCCTATTTGTGTCTTCCACTCTATTGTGGCAACACTACAGTGTAGGTTGATTCTAGTGCTACTGTGGTGGCTCCATAAGGAAGGTGGGTGGTAGGAGGTGGTCCCTCTTTCTTTCTTTTCACTGTTTTAATAAGAGGGATATGTATGATTGTGAGCCACCTTGGTTAGAGGCCATATACTATGCCATCACAATATTGGAGCACAACTCTATATCTAATATATACCACCATGTCTGTTTTTAATTAGATTGGGTTGGATAATGTTTTTGAGCTTACAGTGCTATTTAGATTGCACTATCTCCAAATTAGCTTTTGAACATTTGGACCAACTTTTCTGGTTAGGTCTGCAAAAATCTAATGGCCTCCTTCATTTATGGTAGTTACTTCTACCGAGTACAGATCACTCTTGAGCTCATGAGTTGAGCTCAAATTTCAAATGTAGTTCAATACAAACATTACAAAGTTTAAAAAATTAACATTCAACCTAACATCTTTTTGCATTTTATATAAATAAAAATATTTTGGTAGAGATTTCTTATCCAAGAATTTAATTATTTACTACAAGCTAAAATAGGTAGGTTCTTTAGAATTTTAAATAAGATAGGATTTAAATTTGTGCTTTTTAAAATTATCAAGATTGAATTAAGATTCTCTAGCAACTATGAGACACATGAATATTATGGGTATATTGCAAAGAGAAAACTTGTGTATATATATATAAAACGAAAACTAATTATATAAAATACAAAAGCTTATATTATCGATGAAGAATGAACATAATCTCCAAGAGTCTTCTTCAACTCAATAATAATAAGGGTTGGTTAATGTATATAAACATCCACTTTAGGATCCTGGTGCAAGATGTTAATGGATATCTAGTACATATGCTTGCAAAAAGCATATGCCTTCCCATGTTCCTCCTTCGTAAAGTTTAGACATGTGTATAATAATCTTGAATGGCAATTATGTACTTTCGACCTTTTGTTTTTACAATATACTCCTTCATTAACTCAATAATGTACTTTATGAAAAGAATTTCACATTAAAGCATTTGAGTGAAGTTTATTTTACCTTCCTTCTGCTTAGAGATTATACTAATAAATTCACCTTTTCTTACTAACCTCTTGTGCATCTTTATGGGAACAATGCTAGTTCTATCATTTATATCTTCAATTTTCCTCTTCTCAAGATTAAAATCAGATTCCTTAAGGTTTTGAATTTCATCTGAACTGAATGCAACCTCTTTAACACCTGGCCATTCTTATCAACTCTTGTTTCTCTCATCTATACCACAGCTTTGAAAAGATGGTACCTTTATTATAGTGTTTACATTAAGCTAAGTTGCTGGGGGGTGGCAAGACTTGACTGCTGCTGTGGGATTGCCTGTGCAGTAAAATCCAGCTTTGAATGATCTCCATCTTCTTGGAACTTGTAGAACATGCTGATGACCATCTGGATTTTGCTGGTGAACACCACTGCAGGATAACACCACAGAGAAAGCCCAAGATGAAGAATGTATCAGTGTTGGTGGCATGTACTGGGATGTTGGTCGAGGAATTAGATGTCGAAGCATTGCATGCTGAGAGTGGGAATCCACACAAGAGAGTGTTGCCTGTAAAGGCATCCAGAAACCTGGTGTTGAGGTTGTTGCCAGTAGGAATAGGACCACTGAGATTGTTGTAGGCAACGCTGAAACTGGCATGAACGCAATCTCCTGCAGAATGCCACCCTCGAAGTTGTGCGACAGGTCAAGTGATTCCAGCACCTTAAGCATGGAGAGTCCAACTGGGATGCGTCCAGAGAATCTGTTGCTCGAGATGTTGAGCTGCATGAGACCCACAAGCCGAGAAAGTGTGAGGAGGAGCTCACCTTCGAGCTCGTTGTTTGAGAAGTCCATGAGCGTGAACGAATCAACGAGGTTTGATATGTTGGTATATACTCCTCGCAGGGTGATCCCGTAGTCAAACATGCCACCGCCAAAGGTATACACCCAGGAGACTTGCTTGATGGTCTTGTCACTCGCAAACAACAATATCCTAGGCATGCATCGCCAACCTCACCAATCTTCAAGTGATTGATCTCTCCAGCAACCACCTTACTGGTGCTTTGCCCGACCAGCTCGATCTCATGCAAGGTTTCAAAGCCACCAATGTGAGCGTAAAAGCATTGGGAATGATCTCCACCACTTGCAAACTATCTCTGGAAACATGCCCTGGAAGTTCATTCACAGGTCTAGCACTTGGATCCCAGTGCAAAGTGGCTAGTCATGCTGCCGAGTTTGGCTTGAGACTTGCACCGCGTTTGGACTGTATGGGAGAGGGCCAGTGAGTTGGTTCTGCCCAAGTTGCAAGGCCACTAGGTGTTTAGTGGCTCCAAAGCCCATGGTCACCTCACCAAGCACATATCTCCTACATTGAGGATGAGAAGCTTTTTGAAACTGTCCATCGTCTTTGGAAGCTTGACAGGTCCAGCAGCGTTATGGAAGAGCAGCGTCCAAGCTCCGAAGGAATGACACCGGAGAGATGGTTACTGGAAAGGTCAAGCCTCGTGAGCTTTGACAAGTTGCCAATGCCTGGAGGAACTTTGCCAGAGAGCTCGTTGTAAGAGAGATCGAGTCGCCGCATCGACGAACCTGGGGAGTAGTCTTCCCTCAAGGCTCCTGAGAACCTGTTCCATGAAGGTCCAAAGTATTCAGCTTCTCCAGTGAGCCGACCTGTGGAAACAAAGGCCCAGTCAAGTTGTTCTTGAGACGATCATGGATGTTAAGTTCCGGAGCTTTGCCATTCCACTCGGTAGGCCTCCTTGTAGATTGTTAACGGATAGATCCACCAGGGACAGGCAGTCCACCAAAGGTTCCGGAATTACTGTGGACAAGTTGTTGCGGGACATGTCGATTGCTTCAAGAGCGCAGTCATCCCCACCAAAGATCTCAGGTGGGATCGATGTCAGCTGGTTTTAGCCAGACGTAACACGTTCACAATTTTAAGAAACTTCGATGCGTGAGAAGGGAGAGCAGCAATTGCTCAAGCTTCTGAGGCAGTGTTCCACAGATCCTCGGGAAGCAGCGGCGGCAACAAGTATCCGGGGATGCGCCGCAGGGTTCTTCGGCCCAGGAATCGCGAGGTGGAGCTGGACGAGGCCTGCATGTAGGAATTTTCAGCCAGAGAGAGATTTTGCAGCCTGGAAAGCTGACCCAGGGACTCCGGAATGCGGTCACCAAGCTGGTTTCTCGAGAGATCAATGACTTTGAGAGACGAGCAATTTGCCAGGCTCGAGGAATCTCCTGGTTGTAATAGTTCCAGGGAAGGATGGCGTAGACGTTGAAGCCGTCCCAAGAAGCCTGGAATCCGGCCCTGGAAGAGATTGTAGGAGAGATCTAACACCTCAAGGAGAGAACAGTTTGTGATCTCGCTGGGAATCTCACCGGACATGTAATAGTTACGTGACAAGTTGAGCTCTCTGAGCTGTGTCGAGGGCGATATACTTCCCTGCAAGAGGAGAGATGTAAGCCTGATCGAGACGACGCTGGTGGAAGAATCGCATGAGATTCCTGCCCAAACACACATGTTGGCAACATTGCCCGGGTTCCAGTCAAGAAGAGTGCCTTGTGTGTCGTTTATACCCTTCTTGAACTCGAGAAGAACATCCGCCTCGTTCTTGGAGGAGGATCCCAGCATTTGCGAGAGGCCTAGAGCAAAGAACAACCAAAAGACGATCTCCACTTTCTCCATTTTCTGTTGCTCTTGTTCTTCCTGCATTCTACATTTTATTGAAGAACAAGAGCTTCACAAAATTGGATAGAACAACGTGTTCCACACGTTGCCGTTTTCATCCACTGATATCCATTTCCAGACTAGTTGAGCTCAATGTCATGGGTAGTCAATGAAAGTCAAACAGTCTTTGAAGGCCACCGCTCGGGGACCTGTCGCTCGCGACGTTGGATCCGTGGGATACGAGATTCGCAGAAGGCTCCAGAGGAACCATTACTCGTGCACAGCACAGGCCTTGGAGGATGTTCTCCAGTGGATGCAACTAAAGGAGACGATAAGTTGATAAAATTCTACGTCTAAAGTAAAGATGTTGACCCCGGTGGTCCGACAAGATCGAAAACTCGCCACTCTCGTCGACCACGTCCCGGAGGCAATGTGCATAAAAGCCCCGGGGAGTGTGGCCCTTTTCCCAGACCGTCTCATAATCTTCCACAGCCCCAGCTTGTTGACTCGAACAACACTCTTCCACTTGAGATTCAGCCCCAGATCATGCAGAGCCTTGGAGAACATCGTACATGGCTTGACGCAGCTCGTCGTTGCGTGGACGGCTGCCGACTCAACTCCCAAGTCTTTCAGTCGGACGGTGTAAGTGTCACCGCAAAGTTCCACTCGGCCGGCCATGAGGAACGGGCTCCGTGCCTCCTGCTTCACGTACTCGAGGGTGGAGAAGCCATGCTCCTCATGCAGCTGCCACGGCCTGATTTGCTTTGTCACCACCCCGTCCATGATGAAGATCTCCCTCTTGACGTCTTCTCGAGGACCGTAGCTCGAGCTTCGGAACACGCGGCAGGGCCTGGGAGGAACAATGAGTCTCATTGTTATCGGGTCCGTGAAGAGCGAGAGCGTTCGTTCTTCTTGAGAGTGAAGATGTTGGCCAGTGTCACAAACGCTCAAGCCGGAATGATCGATCGATGACAAAGGAAAGCATGACATACGACGGACTTTTGCAGATCCAGATTCCAAGACAGACATCCACGCAGAGACGCTTAAGTGAAGACCGTTCTTCCACTGTGGCCGCAGGATGCGATGATCCGGTTTCATTCCTTGGACTGGTTCATCCTCTGGAAGGACTGCAGTGACTCGCTCGCGAATCCGTGCTGGGCGTGAGACGGAATCACCAAGTTCCACGGCATCCTGTTGAAGAGGCGGAAAGCTTGCTGGAGCTTTGTTCTGGCAAAGCCAAACTGCTTAGCAGCGCCAGAAATGTGACCTTGTTGGGAAGCATGAGCATCTCCTGGAAAGCCACCAAAGTCTTCTGCTTCCAAGACATCACAGTCCACGTTGCTACGTCTTTCCGCTCAATCTGATCGAAAGTTTCCCCCGCAACGTCCAGACTTTTGTACCTCCCTTGACGAGCGCAGTGCCAATGCCGGATGCCAAGTTCGCCCAAGCACCCGTGAACTTTTGGCGCAGCACTCGTGTCCGGGAAAACATCGCTTTGAGAGCTTCTTTCTGGCCACACTGCTTGTCTCTCCTCTACAACATCTCCCTCACACCCTCCATGCTTCCACATTTCCCATACATCTCCGAGTGTTGTATTCTTGGAACGCTGTGCTTGCAGCTCGATGGCATTGGACCTGACTGTGCGACGTCCTCTATGGTTGTGAGCTCGTGCAAGTCCAGCAGTAGAGTTTTTTATCCTTTCGTTGAAAACACTCTTGTGGAGTTGCCTATCCTCATTTTGTTTTCTCATAAGAGAATCCACCATAAGGCATGATCATGTCTCGAACAGGCAAATCCACAAAACCTCCTCAGTAGAGCTGTGGTGTTCTTGCGAACCACTTCCTCAAACCTGTACCATGAAGAACATTGTTTCCTCTTTTTGCACTTACAAAGGAAGAAATGTTTACTAAGCAAAAGATATTGCTGTGCCCTGAACTGCAAAAAGAGAAATTTTTACTATGCAAAAGATATCAAACCTGGATTTTATCCTTTATACCCTAAACCAACTTGCTAAAGAGAGAAATTTTTACTATGCAAAAGATGGATTTTATCCTTTATACCCTAAACCAACTTGCTAAAGGGTGATAGTATTATCTTAACCCTGTAGATCACACTGTAATTGAGCTTAACACTAGTGGGTCACCGACAAAGGGGCCAAGTGGTCCTACTCTATTTCTCTTATACTAGTGTTCCTCTACTACAGCTTGGCTGGTGGGATGGGTTTTCAACTTACATGACACAACACCCCAGCTCCAGGATGACTAGGATTGTTGGTGAGTCAAGACCTCTAATAAGAATAACTAATTCTCCTAAATGATAGTTAATTATCACCAATGATTTCTAGATGTGAATACTAACTTCAATATTGGACAAAATACTTTCTTTAACAACTCATAATAAATGGAACAATAAATATAATAACTCAAATAACCAAAGCTCAAAGAAACTTATAATTAAGTCTCATATAACAACAATCACAAGTTTCACATCAATTAATGTCAATGCCAAAGAAAAATTCATAGTACAACCCATAATATCCTCCTCAACTCTTCAGTAAGTTGAAATTTCACAATACAAAAGCTAATTAAGAGCATATTTATATCAATCTAAAAATTAAGTATGATAAAGCTATGCTCAATAAGTGATCTCTAAACCAATCCTTTGAATCCATCTATTCATATCAAAACATAACTCATTTTATAACAAACGTATTAAGAATCATAATCCAAACTCAAATTCAATAAGGAACCAATAACTCTAATATCAATCACTAACTCTTCATTTTGCAAAGCTAAAACACTAAATTTAGATTATTGAGTCATATATTTGTTTAATAGAAAAGTAATACTCCATGTATAACATATAAGAACATAGATAAGTGTGAACCAAATTATTACTCAAGTCTAATCAAACTGTAATAAGCTCACTAACATATTTAGTCAATAGTTTTGAGCATGACTAAAGAATTTATAAGTGTTATAAATATGATTATAGGTATTGAAAGCTACTTGTCAACGAGTCCTTTTAGATATTCTTTCCTTACTATCATGACGGTAGGAGGTCAATATTGTTAGACTCTATTAATCTTCACCCAAACTAGTTGAGAAATTGGTCCTCATATATATATTTGGTCAGAAGAGTATAAAGACAAAATTCCTAAGTGCTATTAATCAAGCATACTTGACTTTATTAAAGAAACTCATTCGTTGGCTTGCATTTACTAGTGTTGAGACATTTTGCAATATTGAGTTTGGTTTCTCAATATTCACTAAGTGATAGTTTACCATGTTTGCTAAAACACTCTCATTATCATTCCCCCATGTGTTATATGATAGTGATGCATATCTATAGAATGTAGAAATTATCCTAAACAAGATAGTGCTTTTTTCGCTTTTAAATTCACAATTTAACACCATTCCATAAGTTTTTGTGATTGTCCCAAAAACCAGCTCTTGACACTAGGGTGGAAGCCTAACCCTTGATAGAGAGAGGGGGGGGGGGGCAAGGGGCAAGGGGGTTCCAAATATATAATAGGGATAGTGGGTAAGTTTGGCTGATTAACTTGAGGTATAATCTAACTCCGATTTGCATGTTTGTCTTTATTTTACATTTGGTTTAAGTCCAAGCCTAAGCTCTATACCATATTAGTTATATCCTCAGGTTAGGCTATCAATATACTGCAATAGTGCCATACTCCATTTGGCTTTATTTTGCATACTAGTTTTGGCATTGGAATGTTAAAAACTCTAGGATTGTTCTAATAACACTATGTGCTCTTCTCTCCTCGAGCTCTACATTCAAGAGTTGTTCCATACTTCAATTTCATACACTCCTTAGCTATATATTTAAGAGTTTAGCTTCGTACTTTCATTTAGTGGCCTAAGGTTTTGAAACTCAAGTTCTACTCTATTGCTCTTAGTTTATATGTCTAAGGTGTAGTGCACTCTATCTCTCTCCTCTTAAACCAACTGAGAAAGAATAATTGCTTGATGAGAGAGCCCTTAATGGTTATTTTATCCCCATTTATCCCCTAAAGTTCCAAAGATATACGGTGATAGTATATTTAAATCTCATCCCATAATTACATGCACTATACAAAGGTTTGATTTTGCTCCATGGTTATCACTATAAGATAAAGGGTGAAAACTATATGCACTATAATAAACTAGCTATAAATGATTAACATTTAGCTGAAATTAAAGTGAAGACCATGAGATGGACTCATATAGGTATATAACCTTTTAATGGACAAGGTTATAGTATAGTTACTAACACCTAAATTGCAAATAATTAAATTGGACATAACCATTCTTAACTAAGGTGCAGGGCCACCAAAACCAAATCAAGATCAATAAGATTTTATATCTCTTAGAGTCTAACAAAATACAAAGTGCATACCACCAAACATAATACTATAAAGAAAGGCATAGAAGTTATCTTTCTAAAAAAGCACATTAGCCACTTTTCTACGCCAACTCCAAGCTCTATATAACTCAATTTCCTTAGCCCCAAAAGTCAGCATCCTTTTCAGTTGATATCATATAAACTGCCTACTAAGGTGTAAAATAACAAAAGTCAATTCTAACCTCTTCACTAAAGGTTTTTAAGAAAATGATCAACAAATCCACTATTAGAAAAGCCTAAGAAAATTTGTTGAAAATTTTCCATCCAAAAATCAACTCTCAATTTAGAAATGTAAATTTTCAAGACTCAACCAATTTCCTTTTATTTATAACTTCATATAAAGAATCCAACAACATATTTATATATTTTACATCTAACAACAATATCTACAAATGCTAATAAATACTTAAAATTTGATCATAAAGACTATATCTTCAAATATCTATATTGTAGCTACACTCTTCTTCAATTATCTTCAAGATCTAGTATAAAGTTAAAATATTAGTAAGAAAATTGATATGAAAAAACAAGTTTTAGGGAAAACTCTTCATCATTTGACAAAATAATTGTAGCGCATATGGTTTTTACCTTTTATCCTATAATGCTTTACCATATGATAACACCACGAAGTAGAACCTAAACCCTCTTTATACCACGTGATAGATGCCATGTGTCATATGCCACGTATCACATGCTATGTGTCCATAGGACAGTGGTGTGGAATACGAGGTTCAGGGCCTTGGGCCATTGAACGAAAGAACAGTGCCAAACTCCCAAGCATGGAGCCAATGAGCAATGACACTGGACCACAGAGTAACTCCCGAGCATATAGCCTAAGGAGCGAAGGGACAGAAGCACAGAGTGACT